CCCCCCCGAACAATCGTATCCGAAATTCCGCGCGCCGCCGCGCAAAGAAGTAAAACGAAGTAAAGCGTATATTATTATTATTATTATTATTATTAGAGGAGATATAAAACTGCATGTATGTCGGCCACCCGGCTGCTACGACGGCGGTCGGGGCGGCGGCAACGGCAACGGCGGCGGCGGCGGCGGCAGCGGCGGCGGCGGCGGCGGCCGTGGTGGCGGCGGTATAACGGCGGCGGCGGCGGCGGCGAATCAATGTGGCCCACGCCGCGGTCATCGGGCATAATATTATTTTATTTTTATTTGGAGACCAGACGTCGTCGCGCCGCTTATTCCGTCCGTGTTACACTGTTCGCCGTCCGTTCCGAAAAAACCGCGTACGCCGCGGCGACGCGCGCGTTGATAATTATCGCGTTACACAGTTTATTATAATTAATAGTGAATGCGTTTTTATTTAATGGATTTTAACGCCGGTTAATAAATCACGATTCGTGCCGGGGATTCCGCGAAAAGTGAATTTTATTTAATTATTTATTTCGTTGTTTGTTTGTTTTTTTTTTTTTTTCATATTATAAAATTTACGGTATAACGTAAAATTCGTGAAAAAAAAAAAAAAAAAAAAAAAAGAATCATGAAAACGAATTCGGTTTTGAAACGCTTTTTTGTGTCCACGCGCATTTTACGGTAGGTAAGTATTTTTAACGAAATTGCCGTTGTTTTTTTTATTATTATTATTTTTACTATTATTATTATTATGTGATTAGACGCGGGTTCGGCAAAAACGGACGAGTAAATTTTCGGCATTTTTTTTTTTTCTATTAATTTAATTTTACAATTTTTTCTCGCGTATACGATTTTTTTTTTTTTGTTTTTTTAAGATTCTGAACGTAGCGGTTTTACTAAAATCTACGCGTATACATTTGTTTTTTTTTTTTTTTTTATTCTGTTAACGACTTTTCTACCAGAAATCTTGCTCCGATCGAATTACCTATGTTATATACGATACGAGTCCATAGCCACGGTTTATTAGAGAGGTAATTTTTTTTTTTTAATTTTGATTTTCCAAATGTAACAATCGGTGAAAACTGTCAGTTTTTCGTAAAATTTTCGTCGGTTTCCGGACTATCAATACCCCCAAAGATACAATACAGGTTAGGTTATAGCGGGTTATGCGACCGATGTTCAGAATCGTTTTCCGTTAGTGCGCTAATATAAATCGTTGCGTCGGTTCGTCATCGTTGCGCATCACGGACGTAAATCGAATTGACTTTTAAAAACGAATAACATAATTCTACGTGTAGGTGTTACATACAACTTTATAACATTATACCGTCATCAACTTTTAACGTTTCATAATTCTTCACAGTTTACTGCGATTTTTTCCCGTGCGAAACCGTTACGTCTGAGACATGAATTTATTCTGGCCAAGCGAATATTGTGTAACAACAACGTTAGTCGGCTCAGAATAAAATCACGTTTCAGAAGTATCAATATTTAGGCTGGAAACGATGATCCGTTTTAAGCAGACGTAAGGACATTGCATTGGGTTTATACGGCTTTACGTATAAATTAAATATAAAAAAAAAGGCAGGTGCGCTAAATTATAAAAGATGAAATACTGCGTGTTTCGATAGTGATAACTCGGAAATCGTAATTTTTTAGTCGAGTCAGTACTGCGTTTAGGGGTGCGATATAGTATGACGTTTGTATCGGAGACGGGGAAATTTAAACAGAAATAAATAATAAAACAGATTAGATAAACGATAAAAATGACGTAAAATAAAATGCGTAATTATAGTATAAATACATTTTTAGGTTATTAAAAATCCGAAAACGGCCGTTTATAAACCAAATTTTTTCTCATTAAATAAACCGGAACGAACATTTCGACGGGCGCGCAGTGTATACATTATAATTATTAAGGTTCGGATGTTTATGCATTTGAAATGACTGTAACATATTGTATACGTTTATGTACATTAAAAAAATACCGATCACGCGTTAAAAATCGTAAAAGATTTGCATTTTTAGTTTAAAAACAAAACACCGAAATTTTGATGAAAAAAAATTTAAAAAAATGTATTTAATTTTTATTAGTAGTTAATTTCTTTTTTTTTTTTTCTTTTTATTTATTAAATATTAGTTTACAATAAAAGTGCAGTTACAGTAGCGCGTGTTATAATGGTTTATTTTCAATTCGTTCATATTGTACGTTTTTTTTTTTTTTTTTTTTTGCTTTATTTTTCGTTATTAATTTAAATTATTTAAAAAAAAAAAAATAAAAGTTCGAAAATGTACTGAAATATAGGTACATGTATTCGTATTTTTAAAATCCAAAAACATGTTTTTAAAACACAAAAGCATAATAGATATGCAAAAGTATGCGAAATAAATAAATAGTATTATTTGATTCAGTATAGAATACGTGAATCGAATTTGTAGCCGGGTCAGCATATTGAATTGCAGGATTAACAGAAAAAATTACGCAGTCTCGTAAAAACATCCGAACCCCGTGATTATTATAATAATATTATATATATTTAAAAATATTGGCTTCCCTTGTAGGCGAACAATTAAATGCGTCAATAATACACCAGAAATCGACCGGAGCCCTTCTTCACCCGACCACTCGCCTCCGCCGGGGGGGGGGGGGCCAAAGACCCGCACGCAATGAAAATAACCACGTCGCCGTTTCGGGGGATTAAATACAACACGTTTTGTTGTATTCTCGTTATAGATTCTGAACGGAGCGAGGAACGTACCGTTTTTACAATGATGTTTATTTTATTTGTTTTATGTGTTCACACTTTTTCTACTTCATCTTTGCTCCGATCGTCAAGTGTTATAGCGTATTTTCTGAACGGAAATATTCTCCGGGCGGTCATTTAGAGAAGTCGTTTTTTTCGAAATTATCATTAATATTCGAGATAACGAGGAAAACCCGTTTCTTTAGGTTAAAAACAAGGTCGTTGTCACTGGCGACCGTTTTTATTTATTTTCGCGTTACTATTAAGTTTTTATTATTTCAATATTTTTTAAACAATCATCGTCGCCACGGCAACGCGCATTGTTCTAATCGTTTTACCGCGACATTATGACATGCATATTATATTACATTGTCGGCGAAGCAACGCGCTATCAATCACCGAACTCCGTCCAGAATCGTTTTTGTTATTACCGTCAGGCAGCATGGTTCGTCGTCGCTCACAGACACGCATTAAATGCCCGTCTGTGTCCTACCTTCCCGACTTCCCGCCCGCGACAGTGGCTGCGCGCCCGCGTGCGAAAAATGTCCGTCATTTTTTTTTTTTTTTTTTTGCTCTTTTAACCTAAATGACAATTCACTGATCATCGATAAATATATATTGTATTGTTATTAACGTTGGCGTTCCGTTTGCATTTGTCCATCATGTACAGATCGCTGCTGTCGGAGAAACCGCACCGCGATAGTTATCACGTCGCACTCGTCCACTCGGAATCCGTATCACCGACCGATGATCGATCGCTAGCAGCCGGCGAACACAACGGTATCCCGGTGCACACGGCTGGTCCGCGGAAACCACGGCGACGGCCGACGACGGCCAAAAAAAAGCGACCGGTTTTTTACTTTGAGGCCGCTGCGATATTATGCCAAATACCTGCGGTCGGGTGCAGTGGCGACGACGGCGGCGGCCTACTGCGGTGGTTGCCGTGTTGTTGGCGCTCGCGGTATTGACGACGAGGGTAACGGCGGCAGCGGCGCAGGCGGTGACGCAGGCGTCACGGCCGGAGACGACGCCGGCGACGACGGCCACGACAACGGCGATGACGAAAACGACGCCGTCGTTCCGACAGCAAACGCCGACCAAACTGGGCGACGGGCCGGCGTCGAGTCCGTCTTCGTCGGCCGCTACTACAACAGGTAAGCCCTAGTCATTATCACACCGGCATGAGCACTCACCGCCCCCCGCCCCGTATACAATAATAATTAAATGATAACGCGTCCGTCCGTTCGAGGGCGCGGAGAATAAAAAAACCGGATTCGCGCACCGGTGATCGCGCGCGGCGGTGTATAGCGGAGCGAATGCCGCCGAGAAGCGTTTTTGTTTTTCTTCTCAAAACTCTCTTTTCGCTCGAAACGCAGAAACCCGCGGATTTTCCGTCCGTCGGGTTACGTTCGGTTTTAATACAGACGGACCCGACCGGAATCGTCACCCGAACCCGTGTACAGTGCCCGTGCATAATAACCTTCCCTCCGACCACCCGTCCCGGAAACATCGGACACGACGCGTACCGCGCGAAAAACGCCCGGCTCGCCGAGCTCGCAGCCGAATGACCCCGTAGCGTCCCCGCGTCTTGCCGAGTTTGACGCGTAAACTCCGTCGGGCCGCACGCCGAATTCGCTTCGATTCGACGAGAAAGAAAAATCTCCGTCCGCCGCGCTAGAATACATAAACCGGCGTGATTAACCGCGCGTATATTTACGGTCACCCATAACCCGCCGTAAGGCGAACGCACGTAATAATAATGTATTTCGACGGGGCATACACACACACACAGACGCGCGCGCGCCGTGCGTGTCGTCAGCTCAGCCCGGAGACAGTTATTGTTGTATTGTTGTATTCTCTTACTTGGGGCGTTACGACGGCGGTGTTGTCCGGGACCGTTTTCGGGAAAAAAAAAACGCGTTTCGTTTCGCGCGAAACTGTCGTTCTACGCGTACATAATATCCGTTGACCGTATCCGCCCCGCTCGCAGTCCTTGTTAATCCGACGATTGTTCGGGGGGGGGGGGGGGTTGTTTTTCTCACGCAGGTATATGGCAATTTTTTTTTTAAATTTTTTTTTTCCGGTACGTTTTCACACACACGCGCGTGTGCGCTACAGCGTAACGCGCCCCGTCACGCGCGGGACACCGTATTGTCGCCGCAGCCGCCGCACGACGCGTTTTTTTCTTTCTTTTATCTGTCATTGTCGCGAACGTCCGGGCCCGCACACACGCACGCGTACAGGGTACGGGCCGCGCGAGAAACGTGTTTACGTGTTTGATGTTTTCACGAGAGGACCAGAAAAAAAAAAAAAAAAGAAAAAAAAAGCGACAACAACAACATCCATGCGTAATAATAGCGATACACAATCGAAGAATTTCCAACGAGAGACTGTACGGGCGACTATACACACACGCGATAACCGAGAGCCGATTCGATTTCGTGTTGTTTTTTTTTTTTTTTCCTTTCTTACTTTCCGGATTCCGCCGTCCCTTTACCCAACGGTTCGTTGTATAACATTATAACAATGCACGCCGACGGCGATGTCGTACGGACGAAATACCTGTACGGCGGCGGCGTACGGTCGAGTACGCGCGGTTTTCACGCGCCCCCGCTGTTCCGCGACACCGTGTCCGGGGTCGTTTCCACCACACACGCCGCCCGTCCCCGTCCCCGGGTCGCGAAAAAAAAAAAAAAAAAAAACCGGACATTATACAATAATGTAAAACGATTGTATTATTACGCTGCTACGTCTGTAATATGATTTTTCCCATGAGTACGAGCGATGGCAGTGAATAATCTCTGAAACGGGCGCACCGCTCGACAAACCCGCCAATAGTTTTTCAGTCTTTCGACGCGCGTCGGATTACGCGCCGCGCGTGTCCGCCCGGACGGTTTTCGCTTTTTCAACGCGAAACCGCGAGGACCGCGCACGACGATAACACGTTCGATTTGTATTTTTTTTTATCTCGGTTTCGCCCCCCACACCCACCCCACCGACGGTAGCGGCCGGAATACAATTTGTCGTTGCGATAGTGCGCACATGTACGCGCGCGGTGGCGATTCGCGTTGCAGGAGCGATCCGGTCCGGTCCGCAGAGACGGCGCAATGCGTTCGGATGTTGTCACGAGCCCCGTACGGACGCGAGACACGCGCCGCCGCGACGAGCGGACCGCCGTGAGAGATTTCGATTTTCCGCCGTTTCACCGCGGTGTCGTTGATACGTTTTATGTACGTAAATATTTAAAGGGAGAACGGAACGCCCCGCGGCGTTTTCCAATTGTTCGCGCGCGCATATTTCGTCCGTTTCCGCCCACCGCCTCTAGCCCGGGCCCCGTTCTCGTTCTCTTCGAAAAACCGTACGGTCGCGTTTCCGCCGGGGGCGGTGGAGGGGGGAGGCAGGAGGGGAAATAAACAGACGACACGCGCGCGTCGTGTGCGGCGTACGCAATACGTAATAAATTCTGACATAACGATATCGGCAACACGCACCCGTCACTCGCGCACGCCGAACGGATTCGGGACGGCCCGGTTCGCGCGTACCGATTGTTTCGCGTACGCGCGCCGCCGTGTCGATGCGTTGACCTCGCG